TTGTTAACGATATAATGGAATACAACAATGCAGAAAATTCAGCCCATCAACACAAAAGTAACTAATACAAATGTTTTCACAAAAATCAAATCAAATGTCACAAAATGAATTAAACCACTTGAATATCTTAAACAATATAAGAGTAAAACTACTACGTACTCTTCAAAGTTTTAACAATACAACTAAATCCTAAAACTACATTGTACTCTACTAACTTACACAAGTTCATCGAGAAAACCCCCGGCCCAAAACTCTCTAATTTCCTCTAACTCGGCTCTAGTATAAGGCAAAGTAGACTGAAATACCTGCAAAATCAAACAACATACGACATAAAGTTCAATAATTATTACCCTACACTTCACTACTTTCGTAAACACTAAAACAAACTTACCTCGAATAATGGTACTGAACATTTCGCACAGATATTGACGATGAGCCAACAATATCGCATTGTATAATAACCACAATCAACATTCCCTTCTTGTTGGGGTACTCATGGAACATAACCCAATCCGGTCGAGCCTTAAGCTGAGGCATATGTCGTTCCCGAAGTAATCGCCAAGACCTTTAATAAATGCAAAAAAACAAATTAATAAAAAATTAATTTCATAACAAATAAACAACTTTATTAATAAGTAATAAATTTCTTAATACTCACTCGTTGACGAAGGTCTTCACCTTCATATTCTTATGACCTCTAGTTGACTTGATGGAGTTTAGAAAATACACTTTGTTTTCAAACAAACATATTAAACCTAACACCCAATGTCGCCTACAATTGAAAAAAGCGTTAGTCACAAACTTAAAATAAAAAACTAAAATACATATTAGAAATGATTTAAAAAGACATACGGTGTCGATAGATACAACGGCATAAGTATCCAGGGTCGCAATTGATAGGTCTCAAGTGCTTTATCCAGATACTGCCGATCTCCAAATTCTACCACGTATGCTATGCTCTCTGGACATAACTGTTAGAATAAAAGACCAACGCTAGAGGGGGGGTGAATAGCGTTTGATCGGAGAAATCGCAGGAATTAAAAATTTAAAAGAGAAGTAAAGATAAGAGTAAGAGGCACACCGAATTTTACCCTGGTTCACCACAACTTGTGGCTAATCCAGCCTCCCGAGAGACTCTCTCGAGCTACACTACTAACTCGTTAAGCTTACGGGTGCTTAACAAACCGTTACAACTTGAGAGTTCAAGTCACACGAACCTCAACGAATCCTTCAAAGGAAACAGACCTTCCTTTGAATCAACCGAGAGTGATACTATCTCTCAACGTGTCTAAGAACACAAGTACACTCAAGAACGAGACTCTCTTATAGAGTAGATTATGAGTAAACTAAGTACGCTCAAGAACAACTCAACCTTCACACAAGTGGCTCTAGAAAGCTATGGAAAATTATGATATTTGAATGCAATGAAAGTATAGATGTTGTGAAGTGAATTGGTGAGAAAAGCAGACCCAAACACCCCTTTTTATAGTGCAAAATTAGGCTCCAACGGACCAATGCATTAAAGGAGTGATTAGCTTGATTTATGGGATTGAAAAGATTTGGGATCTGCAGAATATTGGCTTCCCATCGATGTTT